CTCTGCCGCCGGCGCTACTGCAGCTTTTGCGACCGTTCCTGCGGCACGAGTAGCGGTGACTGTTCTGCTCTCTACGCAACGTCCCTGCGGCCCCAGCCGCGTGGGAATGGGGGCACCTACAGCAAATCCCTTTTCGTTGTCATCTCAAAAAAAAAAATCAAGACCCACACAGCCGATCGTGCAGTCTTTTCGCCTGTTTCACTGACGTGGCTGCCGATAATGTGATTGATTCGCCACAATATATAAATTCCAGAAGAAATGTTGTTGTTGTTGTTGTTGTTGTTGTTGTTGTTGTCTTCACATTAAAAACCGTTCCGATCTCTCTCTACCCAGTACCTTCGCATGTCCGTACTGATCCAACACTCGACGCGGTCTATTCCCGTGGTCGCAGGCGAACTTTCCCAAGAAAGGTACACTCAAATAACATGGCCCCGAGGGGTCCGCAAGTCAATAGAAATCAACGACAGATATTCTGGAGTCCTCTACTCCCTCTGCGCGCTATGCGAGGTATCAACTGAGACTAGAAGTCACCATCACGGGACGGAGAGAATGAGGGACACCTCCTTGGTTCAATCTTGGTACTTTACAACGCAAGCAGGGCTGTTCGAAATAAGCTCCGTGTCACAGAATTCGGGCCAAAAAGCAGGGTCAGGCGCAGGGCTAACGGTCCCGTGTACCGTTCATGTTAAACTACTTCTCGTATCTGTATGTCCGTCAGTCGCGCTGGTTTTGCGAAGTGTTCTCCGATGAACAACACGTTTGCCTCGAACATAGTACGCTGCCTCGCTTAACCCACAAGACTCCGCGCACTCTTCTGGTGATCCAAAATTCGACGAAAGCTCCGAGTAGGGCGGCGGTACCATCACTTCCCCACCCTCACACCGCCATCTCTCCATCTACCTCTATCTCTCTTTGTGTTTGGGTTGATTCGAGACGGGTGGGGGAGCCTGCACGTTCGTGGATACACACTCGTGGCAGGTGCTGTGCATCGATCGACGCTCCACCTCCTCAAACATTCGGTGCAGGCGTCCACCGCAGCCACCATGGCACGCATGCGCCTGGGGTGCCCGGAGTTCAACATTCGGCTGTTTGCACAACTCTCCCATCGGCGCACGGCATGTGGCGTGTGTATACGTGTCCCGCGATGTTGTGTCGTTGGGTGTGGAGGACGCGGGATCTCTGCAAAAATTGAAACGATGGTCGCTGTTGGCTGAGAACAGTCCAATAAGTCGCTATTGAAGCTTGGACCGGTTAGGTGACCATATGGTCGCTAAACCGGGGTGCAGCGGTGTCACGAGATTTGGGCGTCGCTAAACAGGGCATGTCGCTAAACAGGGCATGTCGCTAAACAGGGGGTCGCTAAACCGGGGCCCCTACTGTAGTGAATTGCTACCGCTGCGGCGACCAACCATTGTTCGTTGGCGATGTGTCGCTCGATTTAGCACGCTGCCGTTTTCCAGAGGCTCTTGCAGTCCACAGGGGAGCTGTAGACTATGCCGTTAGGAAAGAGCACGCGACACTCACTGTGATTGGTATTGGTAGCGAGCAGATGTTTCCAACAGCACCCGGCAGATCCAGGTACCGTACCGAAGACTACAGAGACAGATGGAGTGTCGGGACTGAGCGTACCCTGGAGGGGTTAGGTATGTATGGCGATTCACACAGAAGTTCCACCACGAGAAAGCGCATATGGTATTGCGAATGAATGCGACGGAGGTGCCGCGCCAAACAAAAAGGGAGGAGAGGGTCTGGACGGAGGACCCTATATGGGTGTAGTTAACAGCGACAGGGAGATAGAATGAAGCAGATGGTCCGTGAGAAAGCGTATGCATGTGCATGTCTGGCGATGGCCTGCCGCATAGAAACACCATTCGTTCTGGACGAGCAAAGAGTTTTCGACGCGCGGATCCGCGCAGAGAAAATAGACGCTATCAAGTTCGCCTGTTTTTTGGGGGGGGAAGTGAAAACAGATATTACCGCTGTTTCGCTGAAACTAGCCAAAATATACAAGAAGACCATTTCTGAGCGAAGACCGAAACGGTTGTCAACAACGACAACAACAATAACAAATTCCTACGGAAGGTCCGCAGTTCCTGAGATCTGGGTTTGCTTGTGGTGAGGCCTTCAGGACAATCCAAGCCACCCCTTCACGGGTTGTTGTTGTTGTTGTTTTTGTTATTGTTTTTGTTGTTGTATTCACATGAAGAACCGTTCCGGTCTCCGCTCAGTACCTTCTAATGCCCGTACAGCTCCAACTTACGTGGGCGCGTTACGTGGTCACAAGCCAACTGGACTCACTCACTCTCTATTGATTCTTTCTGTTGCTTTGATTCATTTTGGGAAATAGTCCGGATTGGGATTCCTGCGAAACACATCGCTGTACAGTAGTTGACCAACAATCATTCCTCCAAAACCCCCCAAAAAGTGAACACTATGTCCGCAGTATTTTAGGAGTCGGATCCGACCAGGATCCGACCCCAAAAAAGGTTAGGCGGGTTTGCTCTAATTTCAGGACACAGGACACACAGAACACACGCCACCTGTCGCGCTTTGCAGCATCGAGGACGTAGTGTATCCGCTATCATCATTCAAGGTCAGGAGGCCTGCAGCAGCACCGCTGCCCCCTGTGTCCACTGCATGGTCGTTACCGAGAAGCATGGCCGCAGCAGAAATGGAGAAAGCTGGCGTCCATCGCCAAACTCCTCGGTCTCGACCAGAATAAACACACAACATACATTACTCACCAGGGATGATACAGCATGCTACTAATGTACCATTGACCTTTCTTGCAAATCCGCCCGGATATTCTTGCGCGCGAGTGGTTTGTTTACCGTTTGTTCAACACCTTCCACAAGAATAACGTCGTGGGCCGCGTCTCGTCGCTTTGCTATCTATGTAGTCTACAGCAGACACACCAGCCGCATGGTGCATCGATATTCTTCCCGGATCAATACCACCACCAATGATAGCACTCTAAATACTCATTTCTGGGACTATCATAAACATACAGAGCATATCAGCAAAATAAGCACGACTGCCGGGGTACAATATGAAGAGCGCGCAGGAGGGAAACCCGAGGTGTCCATGACACGTCATAAGTAAGTATTCCGGAATAGCTTCCCAATCACACGTATCGAGGCTACAGTTGGCGCCCGCAGTTAAGAAACGCTCATTTCAGGTCCAGCCTCGAATTCTTTTTGTGGGCCATAAACTCAGCGTATGTCGTTCAGTTTCTAATTTCAAGTTCCTTATTTTTTCGTGCAGCCAAATCCTCTTGAGTTTCTTAAATCGGCAATTCTGATTTCTCTGCTTGCATACTACACAACGTTCCAAATAAACAAACGATTTGCACTGCTTTCCTCGACCCCCGTACTCAACCCCGATTCTCACTACCGACGGCTGCACGTAAGGCCACCACTCCCTAGAAGCGAAATGTATCCAGCGGCAACGTCTCGCTATCGCTACAAGGTCCTGTACCCCCCTCATGAGTGAGGGCTGAAACTAAACAAATGCATGAACACCGCATGGTGCCTCACCCGCACGCTGACGTGCCAACAACGAAAACTATCCCGTCATTATGTTGCAAGCTCCGTGAGGCGAACATCGGGGGTTGGTTGTCACCCTTTTGCGCCTCCCGCTCCCTTCCTTTGGGTCTACCTCTACGAGAACCCACGCCCCAGTTGCGGCGTCTTCATCCGTGCTGTACGACTCCAACGGCATCTTCATGCTACGCGTGCTTTCGTCACGGTGCAGGATGAACCGGTAGTCGTACTCTTGCCGCGAAGCGGGGTGAGATCTGCGACTATTTAACCCAACCCGAGTTTCACGAGAACCCCACGCTTCACTTTCGACTGATCGAGCGGTCGCGGCTGTGTTTCTTATTGAGAGATTTCTCATTGTGTGACCCAGATTGAGCTATGTTTCTTAACCCTATTTTCTTATTTTTCGTGAAAAAGTGAGTCTCAATTTCTTAACAAACTATTTCTTAACTGCGGGCGCCCAACTGTATGCACAAATACATATGGACTACGTCCTATTCAGTATTCAAAGATGACCTGCTGTAGCAGCACCAACTTGATTGGAACAACATCGTTTTCGCCGACGGGGCAAGCTTCGACGAGGTCAAATCTGAAAGCTTTTAGACATACGGTTTAATGTGAAGACAACAACAACAACAACAACAACAACAACAACAGTTCGGCATTCTACCCACCTTGCCTGCGCGCAGCGGCGTGCAGTTTTCCCCGACCAACGTGGCACGGCTTTTATTCACAGAAGGAATACATCAACATATCGGCCATTTTGCAAGCACGTGCCAACCAACAATCAAAATATTTCTCAGTGACAGATTTTTTTAATCATCAGGATCGGCTGTTCCAAGGTCACCCAGGAGTGGGTAAACACCCAAACACCGGAGTATTTTTTCTGTTTTCCTGTATTATTTTCGTGCCTCACCCTGCTTTTCATGCGGTGTGCCCTAAATGTTACATTGGTATTTTTTTGTTTTTTCGCGAGGAGGGCCCAGCCGGCTGTTCCCCTCGTCAACGTGCCAACTAACGTCCAAGTTTGGAACCCACGAGCTTTTCAGCCTTCTCGCTTCCACCCGCAGATATTGTGAGTTTCAATAAATCAATTACAGTAGTCGAATCCCGATGGTCCATACGAGAGAGAGGCCACCCCCGCTCCAACTCGCTACACATCCACACATACATACATACATGCTGTGGTGATAATCCAGGCGGAAACAACGGAAGCGACCACTAACGTATGTTTCCCGAGTGTTGACGTCGGCTGCCAGACTTGTCCTTCTTTAACCGTTAACGAACGGTGATTGCCGATTCTGTCCCAGTAGGGGTCCTGATGCGCGCCGCATGAGTCATGAAGTGTGGACGTTTTCGGCCCCATGCACACACAGCTTGGCTTGGCGATCGTACATAGCAACAATCCTCCCATCGACTCCGGTACCAAACTTCACGTACGGTGGTGGCGGTTGTCTTCCCATGTTGCTGCTACACACTCGACACAGTGGGACGCTTGTGTGCTTGGCCCTCATGACGGAGGATGTGATGGTCTCGGCGTGTTATGCTGCGACCAATTTAGTGGGCTTGATCAAGACCATCAACTTCGTCATGATGACTTCCTCCAACATGCTGGCCGCCACCAACCTCGGGATCTGCATCAACCTCGCCCTCATCGTTTCGGTAAGAGCTCATGTACAGCAGTACTGGGTTTGTTATGTTGTCAACGTGCATGGTACTGTTTATAGTTTCTCTGCTTTGTCTCAAACTGCTGCTTTTCTTTGCATTGTTACGTCTTAATTACGTGCCACGCGTTTCGTTTCGTCTGCTGTTCAGCCCGCCCCCCCCGCCCCCGTGTCTTTTTTCTACCCGATGGTGCCGTTCCCCTTCCGCCCACGACATGCGGCACCATCATTCGCTTCAAGTCTCACCGGACCATGACTCGTGTGAAAACGGTCAGCTCGCCCAGGGTTCTTTTCATAATGCTGCTAGTCTCCGCGTCTCTCGCGGCCGCTACGGTGCCCCTGTGGGAGACGACAGTCGTCCTTGGAACCCACTTCTGGTTCACCAACTCGGACCCGGTACGTATGTAGGCTAACCTGATAATGACTTGGAACGAACGAACGTTATTCTTTCCATTCGAGAGAGCGCACCGAATTCTTCCACGTGATGGTGAAATCTGGCCAGTGCCTCCGAAAGCGATGACGCATGCATCCGTGGCCAGTTTGCCCAAAGAGACGTTTGACAAGCAGTAAAGAAAGCATCGCCGTCCTCCTCCCTCCTTGTTTGAGTGGCCCCACACGCCCCGGCCTCAATTCCAAGTTCTGCTCCAACCACGGGAACGTATTGCGTTCCTCTTCCCGCCAGGGTGATTGATATCATTCAACAATATCTCTGCCTTCTGTGATGATAATGTTGGGTAATTTTCACCAGCGCTTTGGGTTGCTTTTCGTCTGGTTCTATTCTCTAGCCTCCTCCTCAGGTGGGTATTAGTGCTCTGCTGTTGTACCAGTACAGCGTCCCCTAACCCCGAGCAGGGTGTTTTGCGTTGTGATGTCGCCGCTTCTGTTCTCGGAAGCACAAGAACGGTCCGTCCCCCCCCCCCCGAAACCTCGGCTTTGACAGAGGCTTTACCAAGAGCTTCGAGAGAGGCTCTGCCAAATTTGTTGAAGAAAAGTGCCAGTCCCTGGCATTATATGCATTCATGGTAGAAAGGCACTTGCTAGTATTCTGTTGTGTTTGTTTATTTGGGGGGGATGGACGAAGGGAAGGCATGGTAGCCCTCTTGACTTCGTTTTGCGCAGCCCTAGGATGAAAAATAGACGTTCTAAGCTGCGCAGAAGGTAGGGCGGCGAAGGTGACGAAGGAACTCGACAGAGGCTTCCTCACAAGGGCTGTGAGTGCACCACCGCGCTACAGCTACGCACGTCGACATGAGCAATGTCAGTCCCCCTGTGTAGGCCGCTACGTGCAGGGTCTGGGAACCCGTTTCGTTTGTCGCATAGATCATTCCACGGCTGTTCGTTGCTTCGCCAAGCGCCTGTCGTGTTGATTTCGTCGCCATGGTTTTGAAAGCTCCACTCCTGGTTGACGCCTGGTTGCCCATGCAAACTCAGGTCAAAAACGACTTCATCATCATGTCCATCTACATCATCGAGTTTCTCGTCGGGATCTGCATGTTGGTGATCGTGTTCTGGCTGGCGATGTTCAGGATGACGGAGATCAAGGAGTGCTGGAGGTTTCACTCCCGAATCCGCTACTACTTCTGCCTGACTCTGTTTGGCACTGCAGTCAACCTTGGGCTAGGAATCTGCGGCGCGGCTTATGTTTTTGGCGATCGAAAGGAGTGAGTTACGTTGTCCTCGTTCAAAAACCTGACCCAACCACATGGGATATTGCTGCAGCGCCTCTCTCGCTGTAGACGCTGTTTGGAACTATCGTTGGGGTATTAACGATTGTATCCGGAAGGTTCTTGTATTGTTTGGAAATATTGAGACCACTGGGGTATTAATGATTGTCCGGATGACATATATTTTCAAACAGAGTGGCCCTGTAGATGTCTACACGGAACGCGGGGAAATATTTTCGTTCCATGTATTATGCGTTGTTAGTTTCTCAGCCGTTTTGTTCATTCTAAGGAGGTTTTCCCACAATCCTGCAATGATCAGTCAACTGTATTAGCTTTGCGTTCGTTCAGGCGAAGAACGGTCCGCCATTGAACGAAACCGTTGGTCTTTTTGTGTTGGGCGTATCGGGAAAACGCGAGAGGGAGTTATCTATCCGTTATCTACTCAACGCCGTGTTTTCCGCTGTTTTGGTGCGTGCGGTGTCGACCTTACATGGCGAGGATTGCCTGCCCGCGCAGCCCTTCAACCAACGGCTATTCGTCGCGGGTAAACGTGCTGCTCAAACGAAGAACCTACACTCCTAGATAGCATTGTTTTCAGCTCGTCAGCAGTCTTGCCCCGCGTCAACCGGGGGGCCTTCTTCTGCTTCATGTAGAAGCGCGAGTCTCCAATACGGTGCTTCTGGTTCTGCCAGCATTCCCCACCGTGTTCTGTCGGCATGTGCGCGTGTGTCTCACTACTTCGCACCAACGGCGCTTACCGGCTGACCCAACGAAAATTCGTAATAGGCATGCTAAAACGCAACCGGTGTGTTTTGTTGTGTGTATGTGCCGGGCTTCTTTCCCCCTTGATGTCTCCTACACCCTGTAGGCCGCTCCCACAGATTTGGTCCTGGCTCTTCAGGTACATTCACATCTCGTTCGACACGCTTGTCCTGTACGGCGCGCTCCGTGAGGGAAGCATCGATGAGCGTGCCGAAGCAGACCGTTCGTCTCAAGACGGCCACGGCCACAACGCGTCTGGGCTCGCAAGGAATGGTGAATTGTCCTCCAAGCCCGGGCGTAGCGGCCGTTATGAGCAAGCCCACCGCAAGAACAAACTCGCCACTAGCCAAGATCGGTTCGTCTAGCATGTTTGGTGTACACTACGTACCGGATCGACCGTACGCTTCCCTCCTTCAAGCCACCCGCGAAACGCCGTGCGGGCTGGCTGGGAGAAGCAGTCAGTGACCACTACTGCTGCTGCTGTTTTCGGAGTTTTATGGTGTTTCGCTGGCAGGAATCCCATGGACATTCATTTACCTACGAGAAGTCAGCACGCACGCCCGTTTTTTTCACCGTCTTGTCCTGTGTTTGACACCTGACGTTATTGTCTCGCGTCTTCTCATGCTACGTCGAAAATCGCGGCGGAGGTGACAGCATTACCAAGTCATTGCACGTGAGTGATATTGACCCAGGCGTATTGTTCGTGCGCAAAAAGCGTCTCTCCACGTTGACTCAATACCGGTGATGCAGTTAATTGGTTTCCAGGTGATCAGCATGGGGGTGAGTCGAATATCCTGGTCAAGATCCACACAGTAGCCGAGAGCATCAACCAGGGTGGCCTAAAACTTGTTACTTGCTAGATGATGCGGGCCGTGGGGGTTGACCGCGTGTTGTGAACAAGTGGTCTGTGGTATTTAATATCGCTACCCTTGTTAGTTCTATATTGATGGCAATCGGTTGTCGTAGTTCTTGTTACTTGAGAGTAGGAGCCAAGGAGACCTTTGCTTCCATTGTGACGTGCTTGCCTGAATTTGGAAGCGCACCGTGCTGTTGTTATGTGGATCGAACGTGCTTGTTGCGACAAAGGGAGGGACTCGAGGGTCACCTGGTACCAATATCCGAGTGCCTACTTGCATACAAACACGACTATGTAGCAGCACTAGCTTCTATTTGCACAGAGTTTCACACCGTCGGTCTGTTCAGTGTGATATTATTCTTGTTTGTGTTGCACCTCTTTTGTGCACATGAAGTAGGAATGCCGCAGCCGTAAGGGCAGCAGCAGACGTAGCAGTAGCAGCAGCAGCAGCAGCAGTGTTCCAGAAGCTGTTGTTGCGTATACCGGTACGATTTGACGTGCCTGAATTTGTGTACAGATCTAGGAAGCCCTCTGTGTAATGTTTTCGTCTCCAGTCAACGGAGGGTGCTTGAGGTACTATTGATATAATAATACCTCCATCAGCACATCATCTTGTTGCATTGATATATGAAAAATGCATTTGTAGACAACATAGGACATTGAAGGGCCCCGACGGCCCTAGTGGGCGGCGGGGCCGGAATCGCGAACCGAAGGTGGGTAGGGGAGTGAAGAGAACGTGGAAGGAAAACATGGACATCATTGATTGCAGCATGGTGACAAGTGTGTACTTCGAAGTATCAGTCAATGGAGGAGGTAAAAGGGTAGAGAGGGCAAAATGAGATGCTATTTGGATCTAGAGATGCCCAGACATGAGCGAGTGTGTGGGCAGCGGTTGATGGGACCGGCCACAATGTCGTATTCAAACTTTTCATTGATGTGTTGTGTGTGTTGAACATTTGTTCATTGGGTATGCCTGCATCACCGATGTAGACTACAATGTATGTACGGAGCAAGGGCGCACAAGTTTTTTTTCCTGCACCCCCTCCTCGGGTACGTTTTTTTTTCGTGGTACATTTTTGTCAAGCTTTTTGTTGACTTTCTCCCTCTCCGTTGCGTGTGCTTGCCGTGTGTGCTGGTTTACGGCACGCATTGAAGCGCCAAGAAGGTATTGTACCAGGCTTCTGAAGTAGTTGTTCGAGATTGTTCATGGTGTGTTCATCCGGCGCCGGAATATTGCTACTTCGCCAGTGATAGCTATGATGGGCTAGGGGCACTTCTGGTTGGTTTTCAAGTCTTGAAGTACAAAGTCAAAGTGCTTGGGAACAACCCCACAAGCTGAATTAACCCAGAACTTCTCGATGCTTCTGCGACAAGTCCGCGACACTTTGGCCTTGGGCGAATATGGCGAAATAACACAAGCAAATGACACACCAGAACCATACACGACACATAATATTAACCATGCGTGAAACGCCATCAATCCAACCATATTACTCAAGCCGGCAACATTCCGGAGAGGGGCTGTCGATGAGCCTACGGCGGTGGCATTACCTTCGCCACGTACAACGCCGTACAAAGAAATAATAATAGTTTACCGTGCGTTGTATGGTCCGTTCGGGCAAATATTCACAATCTTGTTTTTCGCGATATCTTTCGAAAAAAAACGATTTGGAAAGTGAAACAACTTTGGGCGTGACCGCGGCGTCGAGCTTCGTCGATATCCGATGAGTTTTTAGTGACTGGGTGAAATGCGACATTTTTGACCAAAATGACCCACGGAGCCCCCACCCCCTCATGAATCCACGGAGCCCCCAAAGTACACCACGACCCCCCCTCAACCCCTCCCTTCTACACGTATATGCCTTCAGAACATCAGTTAAACCGTTGTCAATCCATATTTACATTATTTTCACGTTACATATCATATATATACGTTACATTCGAACCGACATTCGAACCGACACATATGAGATCTANATCCACGGAGCCCCCAAAGTACACCACGACCCCCCCTCAACCCCTCCCTTCNTAGTGACTGGGTGAAATGCGACATTTTTGACCAAAATGACCCACGGAGCCCCCACCCCCTCATGAATCCACGGAGCCCCCAAAGTACACCACGACCCCCCCTCAACCCCTCCCTTCTACACGTATATGCCTTCAGAACATCAGTTAAACGGTTGTCAATCCATATTTACATTATTTTCACGTTACATATCATATATATACGTTACATTCGAACCGACATTCGAACCGACACATATGAGATCTACGATATACTAGAGCAGTGCTACTGAACATTGATTCATACTGGTTATGTGCTTACATTTCCATAATACTCCCCTTCATTGAAAGTTGCTCTGAATTGCACCAAAGTACAGTGATGAAAATCAAATCAAGCAAGCACTCGTTTTCTGCGCAACGTAACTCATTCGTTTCATGCGTTTCAATCACAAACGTACCAACTGATATTTCATGTTTTGCGTGTGCTACAACACATATATGCGCTTCCAAAAAGTACCTGCTATTGTTTCTTGCAAAAACCAAAGCACCATATAACCTTCAATCCTACATGGCTCGTTCAACCAGTGATGGTGCGAGGCCGAATGTTGACTACTGAAAGAGTACGCTGATTCACACAACCAGAACAGATGCAAAAATACTTCGTAACAAACACACAACCAAAATATTACTTGAACTTGTTGCTGATGAAGTCGTTGACGTTGAAACTGCTGATGATGTCCAGCAGGTGTTTGAGCCGATGCTTGTTAAGATGCTTTGTCCCGATGTCGGCAGGGTTGCTGTCCGTCGGGATGTAATGGATCGATATCCGTCCTTCCGATACTAGCTCTCGGATGTAAAAGAAGCGAAGTGCGATATGCTTTTTCCTCGAGCTGAAGGAGCGGTTTCCAAGCGCGTGCAGCCTCGCCGTGGTGTCTCAATGAAGACAACATTTCGACTCACCCGTACATGTCGCGTCTCAGAGTTGTTGATCCGATACGACTTGCTGTTTATGCTGTATCCGACAAGGCATCCTTCCTAAGCACGGTGCTCCAGCTTCCTGGTGTGGGTTTCTTCGTGCACGAACGCCCTTGACCGTATCACCCGAAGGTGACCAAGGTAGGCATCCTTGCCGTAGAGCGCCTTGTACGGCGTCCCGTTTTGCAGGGCTGCATGAGGAACCCGGTTGCTCAGGTAGACTGCCGTCTGGATCAGCTCCCCCCAAAGGAAGTTCGGTAGAGTTGAGTCAGCGAGCAGACAGCGCACGACATTCAAAATCGTCCGACCCGCACGCTCGTTGGCTCCGATCTGCTGAGGGGTGTTCAGAGAGGCGAACTCCAGCTTGATGCCGATGTCTTGACAGTACTGACGGAAGTCCGCACTCGTGAATTCTGTGCCCTGATCCCCACGGAGGCAATGAATGCGTTCTCCGATAGGAACCACGGTCCCCTTATTGAACAACGCGAGGGAGTCTACAGAAAAGGCCTTGTCCTTCATGAGAACTATCTCCGCCCACTTGGTCTGCTGGTCCACGAACTTGGTGGCATACTTGAATACGCACAATGCAATAGGTGTGAAGGGGCCAAGGGTGTCGACGGAAACGTGCTGGAAGGGGCGCNATAGGAACCACGGTCCCCTTATTGAACAACGCGAGGGAGTCTACAGAAAAGGCCTTGTCCTTCATGAGAACTATCTCCGCCCACTTGGTCTGCTGGTCCACGAACTTGGTGGCATACTTGAATACGCACAATGCAATAGGTGTGAAGGGGCCAAGGGTGTCGACGGAAACGTGCTGGAAGGGGCGCAGGACGCCGTAGGTGGCCTGCTTTGGGTGAGGTTGTTGTGCGCTCATTCCGAGCGGGCAGACACTACAGTCCTTCACGTCTCCGGTGTAGTCGACGCCGTTGACCTGTTCTTTCCTTAGAACGTCCAAGCTCTTACCGTTGATGTGACTCATGCACCGGTGCCAGAGATCAGCGGACTCCACTTTCAAGGAGAGGGCATCAGGTGTTCGTGAGTCTGCGAACATTGCTGTTGGATACATGTGCTGGATGATTTTGTGTCACGCAGACTGGTAAGATAACCGTTTGATAGGGGGCACCGCGATGATTCACGGGGCCCCTCCTTGCTGTGGGAGCCGCTCTTTGAGCACTCCCTCTTTCGTCCGTGTGAACGACGGTCGTCTACCTCCCGTGAAGTTAATACATCACCAAAACAGTCTCACCCGATAAATAAGTGGCGTAGGCCGCAAACATCAGGCCCGTCTCCGAGGACTGTCGGGCCCTCGGGTTCACCCCCTAGCTTTACCTCGATGGAGTAGATGCGTTTTCCGGTCGTGGCGTCCACCCCGAGGGTCTGCATTGGGAAAACCACGTCCCCTGACTCCAACCTGGGGTTGTCCGGATGAAACAACGTCGCCACCCCTTTTAGCATCGCCAATGTCACGGAGAAGAGGTTGGTGCCCAGCCCTGGTACCAAGATGACGCGAAAGGAGACGTGCCGGTCGTTCCCATTGTCGTCCGTGACGGCCCCGAAGATAGTCCCCGTCGCAACGCCTTTGAGGACATGCTGGCCCGCGGCGACGATCGTGTGTGGGACCCGAAGGTATTCGACGTCGCGCATGTGAGTCCGCAATCCTGGTGTAAGCCCAGGGTCGAGGTAGTTGTCTGTCGCTCCACTGTCCACAACCATCCGGATACCCACCACTTCCTCGCTTGTTGGCTCCCTTCTTCTTGCTCTGCTTAGGACGGCTCTTATGGACCTGTTGGGGACAATTGCGCTGAAATGTCCGTACGCCTTGCATCGGCGGCACTGGTCGGTGTCGGACGCGACCGCCATCGCAGCCCCCCGGCCTGAGACCATGGGGCCCGACGCGTTGCGCAACTGCTGATCCACGAAAAAGCGATTAGCCGTCGCCTGGAGACTGTCTACTAAAGAAAAATTGTCGCGGTAGTGCATCTCCCTGATGAACTTGAACTCCGGACTGTCTTGGTCAGGCCTGAGAGCATGATGTCCAGGTAGACTGGGTCCGACACTTCCTCCCCCAGCACCTTAAGGCGAAGCTTGAGATCCCACCCCTTTCTGAAGAAGTCGATGGGATCACCGCCCGCAAGGTGTCGCAGGTTGAACAGCTCGTTGTGACACGCACGCCGAGCTTCCTGGGTTTGAGCATCAAAACGCTCGTTGAGAGCTCTCCAGGCCGCCGTCCTATCCCCCATGTCACTATCCGCCGCCCCTTCGTGAGTGCGGGCAGTGAGCTGCGCAGACCCGGAGGTCACGAAGTAGAGGAGGGAGAACAGGCGACCGTTGGTCTTGTCCCACGCGGCCACATCCTCCGCGTTCGCCGCGGTCGCCGAAGGACGCGCGTTTCCGTTGAGGACGGGGAGAATTTCCGGCGCGTGGAGGATGATTGCTTGTCGAAGCTTGATCTTGCACTCGCGGAAACCCGAATGTCCCGCGCATTTCCCAATGGAGTCCAGCATGCGGAAGAGCTCGGAGCTCGATGGTTCCGCCATCACTGAAACNTGCAGGTCGCAGCTTTGTAGCGTACAACCCACGTCCAGCGGAAGCGATGAAGTGTCCGCTCGTACTACTGCGCTACTACGAGCACAGCTATGACCTACCGCAGGTGGCTAGGCTGCGGTGTTGCGGCGACGAAGTTGCCAACTCCGGCCTCGTCCTGCAGGCACACGGGTCAGATGTACTGCTTAGACTTGCTACGCGTCTTTCAGCGCAGACTTGTGGCTGCTGCACGGATGCAAACAGGCCTGGTCAGATCCTCAACCTACACTCGCACCGGTATTCACAAAGTACGCGTGAGATATCTTGGACAGACCTACCTCGCGTATAGCACAACGTGCAGGTAAATTTACGTGAGCGGATCACGTGGGTGTAGCTGTAGCAGCAGTGGGCTACCAGCTAGCAGTCGTATCCTCAGCCTGCACACGCTACCAAGGTTGGCAACTCAGCACGTGGGAGATATCTTGGACAGACTATACGCCTCGCGAAGGACCACGCGCAGGCGGTTTTGGTAGTTAGCTGAGAACAAACAGGACACCAAGGACGGCACTCCGCACGCAGAACCAACTACCTGCACAGCTCTATTCGCCGACCGAAGTCAACGCAATTATGCCCCCGAATGCTTTACGCAGTATCGTACCGAAATGTGCAGCCAAGAACCCAGATGATCAGTCCGGGCCTAATAAGCAAGCGGGTTGACTCAGTGTGATCTCCAGCAGAAAGCAGACTCCGACGGTAACTCCCGGCGGAGAATACCCAAGCTGGAAGATGTGTGTGTGCTCCACAGTGCTCGACACCAGCAGAAGACGTCGCCGCAGGTCTCCAGTCACACACAACTGAGGCTCATGACCTATTATGGATATTATGTAATAATACCCTGGCACAGTGGTGTAGAGGCTGTGTCGTCGACGTTAGTCGAGGTGATGACACGTGCGAGAGGGTAGCCTGGAAGACGAGAGTCCTTCCACGTAGTGAAGAAGATGCTGAGATATTGGAACACTGGCACTTAGTTAGGTGGCCAACATCATCCGGAAGGATCACACGAGAGAGTGAGCTACTCGGCTACCAAGCACCACGCAGAGAATCCTGCGAGAGTAATTCCTCCGCATAGTCTACACACATTTATACGTTACATTCGAACCGACATTCGAACCGACACATATGAGATCTACGATATACAAGAGCAGTGCTACTGAACGTTGATTCATACTGGTTATGTGCTAACATTTCCATAACAGTATGCCTACACTGGTATCAATTCGATGGTACCGGTCGGGGAGATAGCNGCTACCAAGCACCACGCAGAGAATCCTGCGAGAGTAATTCCTCCGCATAGTCTACACACATTTATACGTTACATTCGAACCGACATTCGAACCGACACATATGAGATCTACGATATACAAGAGCAGTGCTACTGAACGTTGATTCATACTGGTTATGTGCTAACATTTCCATAACAGTATGCCTACACTGGTATCAATTCGATGGTACCGGTCGGGGAGATAGCACCGGGCGGGGTGCGTGCACACAACGCCTGTCTGTGTGTATTTTTCCGGGATCGCACCCATTGGAGATATCGCCCCAGGGTGCCTTGAAAAATTTAAATGAAATGATTTTGTTGCATTTCCGCACCGGGGTCGGAGAGATGGCACCGTGGTGCGGCAAAAACCCGAGGAAAACATAGTATTAAAAACGATCGCACCCGGTGCCATCTCTCCGACTATTAGTCTATTACGGTATTCTTTGTAGGCTATGAATGAATTCGAACGAACGTTATTCTTTGCGTTCCGAGAGAGCACACCGTATATCTGCACGTGATAGTGGGATCTGGGCAGCGTCTCCGAAAGCGATAATGCATGAATCCGTGGCCAGTTTGCCCAAAGAGACGTTTGGCCAGAGTAAAGAAAGCATCGCCGTCTTCCTCCTTGTTCAAGTGGTTCCACACGCCCCGGCCCCAAAGCCAAGTTTTGCCTCAACCGCGGAAAGTTTTGCGTTCCTCCTCCCGCTAGATTGATTGATGAGTGCTGATATTGCAATAGCTCTCCCTTCTTTTGTGATGCTGATGCTGGGTAATTTTCAACAGCGCTTTGGGTAAATATTTGTCTGATTCTACTGTCTGCATTGGTTGTAGGCTCCGCCTCAGGTGAACCCACAGAAATTAGTATTCTGCCGTTGTACCAGTGCAGTGCCTTCGAACCCCGTGCAGAATGCCTCGCGTTTGATTTCGCCACCGTGGATTGGGAAGCACTTACACCCCCGAAACCTCGGCTTCGAGAAAGGCTTTTCCATTTTTTACGAAGAAATGTACCTGGCATTCTATATGTTTGGGGTGTCGGCGCGTGTACTATGTTATCACGCTCGCGGGCTCTTGTCGAGAGCGTGTTGCACAAAGGAGTGACTCAAGTTCCTTGATTAACTATTAACGAG